CCACCGGGTATACTGGTAACACCACCGGGTATACTGGTAACACCACCGGGTATACTGGTAACACCACCAGGTATACTGGTAACACCACCAGGTATACTGGTAACACCACCAGGTATACTGGTAACACCACCAGGTATACTGGAACACCGGTTAACTGGTAACACCACCGGGTATACTGGTAACACCACCCGGGTATACTGGTAACACCACCGGTTATACTGTAACACCACCGGGGATACTGGTAAACACCCCCCCCGGGGATACTGGTAAAAACCACCGGGTATACTGGTAACACCACCGGTATACTGGTAAACACCACCGGTTTTTACTGGTAACACCACCGGTATACGGAACACCACCAGGTAATACTGGTAACACCACCAGGTATACTGGTAACACCACCAGGTATACTGGTAACACCACCAGGTATACTGGTAACACCACCAGGTATACTGGACACCACCAGGTATACTGGTAACACAAAACCGGTATACGGTAACACAACCAGTATACTGGTAACACCACCAGGTATACTGGTAACACCACCAGGTATACTGGTAACACCACCAGGTATACTGGTAACACCACCAGGTATACTGGTAACACCACCAGGTATACTGGTAACACCACCAGGTATACTGGTAACACCACCAGGTATACTGGTAACACCACCAGGTATACTGGGAACACCAACCAGGGTTTTAAATGGTAACACCAAAGGGATACTGGTAACACCACCAGGTATACTGGTAACACCACCAGATATATTGATAACACCACCAGGGGTTCTGGTAACACCAACAGATATTTTGATAACACCAGCAGGTGTTCTGGTAACACCACCAGATATATTGATAACACCACCAGATATATTGATAACACCAGCAGATATACTGGTAACACCACCAGATATATTGATAACACCAGCAGATATACTGGTAACATCACCAGAGTGAAAATGTCATATTGGCAACCATCACCACCTACCTGACCCACGGGTTATATTACACCAACTCATCCCCTCTGGAAACTGAAGATTCAGATGAGTCACAGGTATGTTAGGAAGTATTTCTTTAGTCATAGAGTTGACAGGAAGTGGAACAATCTGGAAAGTGATATAGTGGAGGCAGGATCCATACATAGCATTAAGAAGAGGTATGATAAGGCTCAAGGAGCAAGGAGAGAGTGAACCTAGTAGTGACCAGTGAAGAGGTGGGGCCAGGAGCTATGAATCGACCCTTGCAACCACAATTAGGTGAGTACAATTAGGTGAATACAGGTAATTCCTCAGTCCTATGAAATCGGCCAAGTAAAAGTCAGAGACATTGACTTGGTCGTAGTTATCAGGGTAATTCCATGATATATTGAAACAGTGATTTATGATCACTTTCCCCAAGTTCATCATTAACCTCAAGATTATTGATTAGTGATTCATTGCTGGCAAGAACCAAGTCAATCAGGTTGTTTCCTCTAGTTGTTTCTGTAACAAACTGTTTTAAAAAAGAATCTTGGATCGTATCAGGAAAGTCGCTAGATTCAAGATTTCCTGTCAAATTGCTCCAGTTAGTCTGTCTAAAGTTAAAATCTCCCATTATCACGACATTTTCGTATCTAGATGCCTTGTAAATTTCGTCCCATAGAAGTTTACTGAGTTCCCTGTCAAGGTTTGGAACCTATAAATCACACCCATGATTAGTTTTTCACGACCCTCAAGAAACTGTAGCCAAACAGATTCAGTGTTCGAAGCTTCTAATTTTATATCTTGTCTAATGCAGCAGTTTAAATTATCTCTGACATACATCGTCACTCCATCACCCCTATTGGACCTGTCGGTGTGGCATTCAGAAGGCATTTCTCTATCTTTCAGTTCGAACCAGGTTTCTGTTAAACAATAATATACATGCTTCTTCCACATGCAGTTAATCTAAGCTCATCTATCTTATTTATTATGCTCCTATTAGTATAGTAAACCTTAAAGAAGCTAGTCACTCGCTGCCCTCTACTTTCTCCGTTGACTAGTTCCATTGGATTTATTAGTAAGTTTATGATGAACAATGTCTTTTGTACATATCCCTGAGGTATCCTGGTAAGTTTTTGTTCCTTTCATCCCTCGTGCTTTAACCTACACACACCAATACCTCTATTCTCTATCAGTTTAAAATTCTAGACAACTCAGCAACGACCTCGTGACAGAGTTGGCTAACACTTCCACTCCAGCCCCAGAGAGATGTACCCTCAACCCTTGCGTACATATCATGTTTGCCATAGAAATTGTCTCAGTTGTCAATGAATGGGATTGAAAGTTCTTTGCAGTACGTGTATAGCCAGTAATTTATACTAGTTGTCCTAGACATCCATTCACTGCCCACTCCTCTTCCAGGCAAAAGGCTACATATGACCTGGAGAGTATTCCAGGGATCAACGCCCCCGCGGCCCGGCCTGGTTGATCAGGCACAGTGGATCAGGGCCTGATCAACCAGGCTGTTACTGATGGCCGCATGTAGTCCAACGTACAAACCACAGCCCGGTTGATCCGGCACTGACTTTAAGTATCTGTCCAGCTCCCTCTTGAAGGAAGCCAGGGACCTAATGGTAATTTCTAATATGCTTGGTGGGAGGCTGTAGAGCAGTCTTGAACCCCAGACACTTACGGTGTTTTCTCTTGGTGTACCAATGGCCTCCCTACTTTTTATTGGGGGTATTTTGAACCGCCTGCCCAGTCTTTTATTTTTGTAGGGAGAGATTTCTGTGTCTAGGATTTTCCAAGTGTAGATTATCTTGCCTGCCTTCCAGCGAGTACAAATCAAGTGCTTCCAAGCGTTCCCAGTACTTGAGGTGTTTGTAGAGCTTATATGTGCAGTAAAAGTTCTCTGTACGCTCTCTAGATCTGCAATTTCACCTGCTTTGAACGGAGATGTTAATGTACAGCAATATTCCAACCTAGAGAGAACATATGATTTGAAAAGGATCATAATTATCTTGCTATCTCTTGTTTCGAACGTTCTCATTATTCACCCTTTCATTTTCTTTGCAATTGTGATCGTGCCACTGTTGTGATCCTTGAATGTGAGATCCTCAGACATTACCACTCCCAGTTCCCTCACATTATTTTTCTGCTCTATTGTATGATCAGAGTTAGTAGTATGTTCATTTCTAATTATTATCTCCTCCAGTTTTCCATAACGGAGTGGTTAGAATTTGTCTTCGTTGAACATCATACTGTTTTTCATTGCCCATTGGAACACTTGGTTTATATCTTCTTGGAGGTTAACCGTGTTCTCAATAGATGACAGTCTCATGCAGATCCTAGTATCGTCTGCAAAGGATGACACGGTGCTGTGGGTTACATCTCTGTCTATGTCTGATATGAGGATGAGGAACAGGATGGGGGCGAGTACTGTGCCTTGTGGAACAGAGCTTTTCACTATGGCAGCCTCCGATTTAACTCTGTTGACCACTACTCTTTGTGTTCGATTGGTTAGAAAGTTGAAGATCCATCACCCCATTTTTCCAGTTATTCCTTTAGCACGTATTTCGTGCACCATTACACCTTGCAAAGTCTGTGTATATTACATCTGCATTCCGTTTTTCTTCCAGTTCATCCAAGACCATATCATAGTGATCCAGTAGTTGCGAGAGGCAGGAGCAACCTGCTCTGAACCCATATTGTCCCGGATTGAGTAGATTTTGGGAATCCAAGTGGTTTGCAATCGTGCTTCTTAGCACTCTTTCAAAGATTTTTATGATGTGAGGCGTTAGAGCTATTGGTCTATAATTCTTAGCTAATGCTTTGCTGCCACCTTCAAGGAGTGGGGCTATATTCGTTGTTTTTAGTGACTGGAATTTCACCCATGTCTAAGCTTCTTCTCCATAGTACACTTAGGGCACGCAAAAGGGGTTTCTTGCAGTTCTTAATGAACACAAAGTTTCACGAGTCTGGGCCTGGGGATGAGTGCATGAGCATGTTGTCAACGGCTTTCTCAAAGTCTATCGGAGTTTGAGTAATGTCAGAAATCTGGCTTACGTTGATGGAGTTTTGAGGCTCATTCATCCTTTAGACCTAATTAAATCCATATCTGTCCTATACCAATTTAGCAGCTCCTATCTTCTGCCCTTCGCAATATCGTTTCCACCAGAACTGAAGCAGATAATGGGCTTGTTTCCAATTTCTTACACAATATTTTCCAACCTGTTGACTATGTCCCCAACACTGGCTCCTGGGAAACACACCTGTCTCACTTTTCCGTCTCTGTTACAGAAAACACGGTCAATATATCTTGCCTATGAGTCACCGACCACAAGGATATTCTTACTTTTATTAGCAGAGGAGTTAGTGCTACCTTTAACTCACTGACCACTGAAGTACATTCGTCCTGGAAAACAGAGAAGCCATTTCCTACCTTCAAATCTTTTCTTTCAACCTTCCTCGCTTTGGTGTTTCTTCCTTTACTGGAAACTTCTACCCACTTGTAACGGCCACCAACCTGCTCATCACTGCTGGTAACCTGTTTCCCTTCACTAACTCCAACCACCTGACATTCATTACTATACTTATCCACGCAAATTTTCAGTTTCTTATTTTCCTCCTTGAAAAGTAGAACCTCCTCATTCAACACCTTGAACTCAGACTCTAAGACACTACAGAAGCAAGTCATGGTGCTCTGTAATACTCCATACTAATCCCCCTAAACAGTTCAGGACAGGTATGACCTCTCATGACCTCAGAGAACTGATTACTGACCTCAGTACGTTCGGTATTCATACAGTATTTAGAGTCTTTACATAGAATGTACATAGTACGTACATTCTTTGCGTAATTTTCACATGCACTTTTAGAAGGTTGGATGACGTCTTAACCTGGCTGGCTGCTCTTCCAAGGATATTCAATGGACTTTTTGTTTTAAATAATGAGTATATTTCTTTATTCGTCCAGATTTCAGACTTACATGACCCCACCTCGTTTAATACTTTTATGACTAAAATACGACATAAATCTCCAGGAAGAGGCGCAGGAGAAGATCTCTGTGACAGACATGGTGAGACTGTGGCCCAAGGGAGAGGTCTACTACGAGTTCTCCACAGAGTTTTGTAAGTGCACTCACACAGTAAGTTACACTCTCGTCAGTGACAAAAACCATTCTCTTATAACCCCATCCAAAGTGGTCAGACCTCTTAAACTTACTTATCTCTCTCTCTCTTCCTGTCTAATCACAACCTTTCTCACTGTTGTATTCTACCCCAGTCCTCCCCTCTCCCCATTCTCACCATCTTTCTTAAGGCCTAACAAAAAATGTTTGCAAATTAGTCATTAGATATTAATAACGGGAAGCAATGTTTGAAACCTATTTTGAGTTATTGTTAAATGGCTGCCTCCATGGCTGGTGTGTGCATTCCAATGCACAAAAAAAGGCAAGTTTAGAAGTATACCAAAAGAAATCTTTCATTATAGCAAGGTTTCGCCTGCATAAGTTCTCGTGTGGCGGCTACACATGCCTTCTTGCAGTGGTTACCTTCTTGTTATCACAGCAATACGGAAACTTGTTAAGTTTACACCGATTATTTAAAGTGTCTTTCAGTGATGCAGTCCACTGAAACCATCAACGCAACATTCACCGGCGTTTCTCAGCCATTTTTACTCAAGTGGCAGAGAGTCCAGTCTTCTTCGTTAGCTATACTGGTTTGATTACGCCAGTACTTTAATTTCAATTAAACCTCTTAAATGTGATCGCCAAAATATATTTCAAAGCATTACCAAAGTTTATACCATGTATATTATGTCATATTTTTCCTAGAGGGCAGACATAGCCTGATTCTTACAGCTTCATTCCGTTTTACATACCACAAATTTAGACCTATGGTCTCCAGATGTATTCCTCCACTTACACAACTTTCCTCAAAAGGACAGATGGAGTTCATCATGAAGGATGACGTCTGTCTGAGAACTTTTCATTCATTCTCAGTCACAAGTCTTCATGTACACTATAATGTCTTATGGGGTCGACACTATACTCACTATCTTGATTATTTTCTTCGTTATTGTGATGTTTATTATCGTATCAACTAATAAATCCTCACAGATGTTGTAAATCCAATAGATTCCTGGGTCTCCATTCAATCTTCTTGACCGCTATGTAGCAGTTTACTCTACTTAGTCTCTGTTTTATCTTCCATTTCTTCCACTTATCACGGAAAATTCCTATTATCCATGTCTGAACTTTTTCTTCCTTTACTCTGACTTGACTTTTTTGTCTCAGACACGATCACTTTTTGAGTTTATTTTGGATCACATGATAATAATTGATGATTGATGGCGGCGGTGTCGGCTGCTACGTTGTTGTTTTTGTTGCTGCTGCTGCCGCCGCCGGGCCAAAACAGCATGGGTTCGACTCCTTGGCTAGTGCAGTGTTATTGATATACAAACATATATATATATATATATAATTGTAACCACTAACAAGTGGCATTTAATTAATAAGAAACTGCGGCTAGCCGGTGGATGGAACCCTTGTTGGTTTAGCCGCCTCGTTGGAAGAGAGCGAAAATTCACGACGCTCTAAGCCACTGGACCTTAGCAATCCTACAAACAATATGAGACAAGAGAACTAGACTTGCTTCATGTTGCGAGGACATACGATGGTGTGGTTGCCTCAAAGCTTTCATTCTACTCTGGTGTACTAGCCTCCATAAGCAGTACATATATTATTGTAACCACGAACAAATGGGAGGTGGTTGAAATTAGCCTAGAACTTGCTACTACCAAGAGTGTCCTCGGAACATAAACACCTACCTCTACTGGGTGCATGATTCTTTGTAGGATCACTGGTTAAGCGTTAAGGCGATGTGAGCATTGTTCTGTCTTTTGAGGCGGGAGAATGTGTCGCAGGATCTAATCCTGGCTAGCCGCAGTTTAAATGTATGTCGTGCCGAATAGGTAAAACTTTCTATTTTGGCTTAAAAAGCAATGCTTTTCTTGCCGAATAAGGTAAGCGAAAATTTGTGTATGCAATAATTTCGCAAAAATTACTCTAAACCTAACGAAAAAAATATATTTCATTGTGTTTGCTTATTATTAAATTATTGTAAACTTATCTAAAATATATTTTGTTGGATTAAGCTAAATTAAATTGCGTTTGTTTTAATAAGGTTAGGTAAGTTTTCTAAGGTTCTTTTGGTACACAATTATTAATTTTTACATTAACATAAATGAAAAAGATATATCTTTAAACGTATAAGAGAAAATTTTAGAAAGGACTTAATTTTAAAAGAGCTCTTGCTAATTGACCAATTTTACCTATTCGGCACGAAATATGTATATGGATATTTCACTAAAAATTCTTCAGAAGCATGTTGACACAGTAATGTGTGTGTGTGTGTTGTCAGTGTTGCTGCCGCTGGAGCGTTACCTCATCCGTCAGGTAATGGCTAACATCGCCAGCCACTCCTGCATCAACTTCCGCGAGAGGACCTCCGAGCCAGACTACATCAAAATCATCTTCGACAGACAAAAGTGAGATCTTATCCTCCTTTCCCAGTAATAAAAATAAATCAATTATATGTTTCCCATTTCTGCTCGACCTGGTAAAGATACACACACACACACACACACACACACACACACACACACACACACACACACAAACATAGCGGGGCCAGGAGCTATGAAACTACCCCTATAACCACAATTAGGTGAGTACACACACAGACTAAAAATCTCACTCAAGAAAAAGGATTCTGGGGTGAGTATAGTACAGAGCAAGTCTCCTGAGGCGCATATCAACCAAATAACTGCTGCAGCATGTGGGCGTCTGGCAAACCTAAGAACAGCGTTTCGACACCTCAGTAAGGAATCGTTCAAGACAATGTACACTGTGTACGTCAGGCCCATATTGGAGTATGCAGCACCAGTTTGGAACCCACACTTGATCAAGCACGTCAAGAAATTAGAGAATGTGTAAAGGTTTGCAACAAAACTAGTCCTGGAGCTAAGGGGTATGTGGACCTGACGACACTGGAGGACAGGAGAGATAGGGAGGACATGATAGTGACATATAAAATACTGAGAGGAAGTGACAAGATGGACAGAGACAGGATGTTCCAGAGATGGGACACAGCAACAAGGGGTCACAACTGGAAGTTGAAAACTCAGATGAGTCACAGGGATATTAGGAAGTATTTCTTCAGCCACAGAGTTGTCACGAAGTGGAACAATCTGGAGAGTGTAGCGGAGGCAGGATCCACACATAGCTTTAAGAAGAGATACGATAACGCTCATTAAGCAGGGAGATAGTGGATGTAGTAGTGACCTGCGAAGAGTCGAGGTCAGGAGCTGTGAGTCAATCCCTGGAACCACAAATATGTAAGTACAAATAGTCGATCCCTGGAACCACAAATAGGTAAGTACACACACACACACACACACCATCTCTCTCTCCTCTACCTCTCCCTTCTCTCTCTTTCTCCATTACCTCTCTCTCTCTCTCTCTCTCTCTCTCTCTCTCTCTCTCTCTCTCTCTCTCTCTCTCTCTCTCTCTCTCTCCATCTCTGTCCCTCTCTTTCCCCTCTACCTCTCCCTTCTCCCCTAAAAAAAAATATGGTGGGTCAGAGGGGAACTCGAAGGACCCAGGGATTAGGGGAGAATGGTTCTGGTAGGGAGGAGTGGATGGAAGAGCATTGCAAAAGGATGGAACAAAAGTGGGACAGAAAACTAGGAGAGCTTTCTACAAAAATGGAGACAGAGCTTTTCTGTGAAATTGGAAAAGAGGTTGGAGAAGGAGAAGACGAAATGGGAGTCTCAAGTCAAAACTGCAGTAGCCAGGATAAGGGTCCTAGAAGGTGAGGTAAGCAGGCTGAAGCAAGTTACAGGGGTATTGACCAGAGACAACACAGCATATGAAGCTGGGAGGCCCAGCAGGAAGGAAGGAAGTATAACTTACGCTAAGGCCACATCAGCCTACCAAGCAGGGCCAAGGATTGAAGGGGAGAGCTGCTTGGTGCAGGTGGAGAGGGGAATAGGTCAAATGCAGTGGCACAAACATGCCACCAAGAGCTACAGGAAAAAAACAAGGGAGAAAATGGCCATGTACAGACAGGAACCAGAGTCACAGAGAGAAAGGCAATGGGAGGAGGAGAAGGCGAAGTCATGGGTTTCAGGAGAGCAAGGGAAGGACACACATTGAAAGGCAGCAGGCTGAAAGAAGATTGAGAACATTACAGAAATTGATGAAGAGGACAATGGCCGAGATTGTAAATTTTCAGAGAATAGGAGGGTATTTGAAGGGGAGAAAACGACCAATCAGGCTGATTTTCAGGACAAACAGTGCAGAAAAGAATCCTCCAAGAGAAACCATGGTTGAAGGACTCAACAGAATACAAGAGGGTGTTCCAAGACCGAGACAGAACACAAACAGAACGACAGTGGCTAGAAGGAGAGACAAGGACAGAATCAGCAGAGGACAACCAGAGCAGGACAGAGCAACAAGAGGAAGCACATGCAGAATCATCCCAAGAACCCCACAACCAATCACACTATCCCAACACAAACCACAATCCACATCCACAGCTCCCACCCAACATTCAGCTATAGAATCCCACAGTACACTGCCAGGTCCCCAACCCTCACAGACCCCCCAAAACACAGTGTTGGAGAGGAAACTGAAGGTATGGTACACCAACGCTGATGGAATAACAAATAAGTGGGAGGAGTGGCACAAAAGAGTTAAAGAAGCATCACCGGACATCACAGCTCTCACAGAGACCAGGCTCACAGGTATGATAACAGATGCCATCTTTCCAATGGGATATCAGATCCTGAGGAAAGACAGAGGGAACAGAGGGGGTGGAGGAGTGGCACTGCTGGTCAAAAACTTATGGGATTTTGATCAGCTGGAGAGAGGAGACGGTGGAGAAGCAAGGGATTACATAGTAGGAAAGCTTCAGTCTGTAGGTCCCAAGGTGGTAATTGCAGTGATGTATAACCCACCACAGAACAGTAGGAGGCCAAGGCAAGAGTATGACGAGAGTAATAGAGTGATGGTTGACACACTGGTTGAAGTGGCCAGGAGGGCTCATGCGAGCAGGGCAAAGCTACTGATCATGGGTGACTTCAACCACAAGGAAATCGATTAGGAGAACTTTGAGTCACATGGGGGCCAAGAAACGTGGAGGGCTAAGATGATGGAGGTGGTACTGGAAAATTTCATGTACCAACACGTAAGGGACACTACCAGAGAGAGAGGAGAGGATGAACCAGCGAGACTGGACCTAGTATTCACCTTGAGTACCTGGAGGTTACCTGGAGGTTATTCCGGGGATCAACGCCCCCGCGGCCCGGTCCATGATCAGGCCTCCCGGTGGATCAGAGCCTGATCAACCAGGCTGTTACTGCTGGCAGCACACAGTCCAACGTACTAGCCACAGCCCGGCTAATCCAGCATGGACTTTAGGTATCTGTCCAGCTCTCTCTTGAAGGCAGCCAGGGGTTTATTGGCAATTCCCCTAATGCTTGATGGGAGGCTGTTGGACAGTCTTGGGCCCCGGACACTTATGGTGTTTTCCCTTAGTGTACCAGTGGCGCCCCTACTTTTAATTGGGGGCATTTTGCATCGCCTGCCCAGTCTTTTACTTTTGTAGGGAGTGATTTCTGTGTGCAGATTTGGGACCATTCCTTCCAGGATTTTCCAAGTGTAGATTATGATATATCTCTCCCTCCTGCATTCCAATGCGTACAAGTCAAGTGCTTCCAAGCGTTCCCAGTAGTTAAGGTGCTTGACAGAACTTATGCATGCAGTAAAGGATCTCTGTACACTCTCTAGATCTGCAATTTCACCTGCTTTGAATGGAGATGTTAATGTACAGCAGTATTCCAGCCTAGAGAGAACAAGTGATTTGAAAAGGATCATCATTGGCTTGGCATCTCTCGTTTTGAAAGTTCTCATTATCCATCCTATCATTTTCTTTGCACGTGCGATCGTGGCATTGTTGTGATCCTTGAAAGTGAAATCCTCAGACATTACTATTCCCAGGTCCCTTACATTATTTTTCCGCTCTATTGTATGGCCAGAGTCTGTAGTATACTCTATTCTAGTTATTATCTCCTCCAGTTTTCCATAACGGAGTAGTTGGAATTTGTCCTCATTGAACATCACATTGTTTATCGTTGCCCACTGGAAAACTTTGTTTATATCTTCTTGGAGGTTAACTCCATCCTCAGCAGATGACAGCCTCATGCAGATCCTAGTATCATCCGCAAAGGATGATATGGTGCTGTGGTGTATATCTCTGTCTGTCTGATATGAGGATGAGGAATAAGATGGGGGCGAGTACTGTGCCTTGTGGAACAGAGCTCTTCACTATGGCAGCCTCCGATTTAACTCTGTTGACCACTACCCTTTGTCTTCGATTTGTTAGGAAGTTGAAGATCCATCTCCCCACTTTCCCAGTTATTCCTTTAGCACGTATTTTATGGGCTATTACGCCATGATCGCATTTCTCAAATGCTTTTGCAAAGTCTGTGTATATTACATCTGCATTCTGATTTTCTTTCAGTGCATCCAAGGCCATATCATAGTGATCCAGTAGTTGTGAGAGGCAGGAGCGACCTGCCCTGAACCCTTGTTGCCCTGGATTGTGCAGATTTTGGGAATCCAGGTGATTTGCAATCCTTCTTCTTAGCACTCTTTCAAAGATTTTTATGATGTGGGACGCCAGAGCTATTGGTCTATAGTTCTTAGCTAATGCTTTCCTGCCACCTTTATGGAGTGTGGCTATATCCGTTGTTTTAAGTTACTGTGGAATTTCACCCATGTCCAAGCTCCTCCTCCATAGTGTACTTAGCGCACACGAGAGGGGTTTCTTGCAGTTCTTAATGAATACGGATCTCTACGAGTCTGGGCCCGGGGCTGAGTGCATGGGCATGATGTCAATGGTTTTTTCGAAATCTATCGGAGTTAGGGTAATGTCGGAAATCTGGCATACATTTATGGAGTTTTGAGGCTCATTCATGAAGAAATGATTTTGGCCGTCGATCCTCAGACTGATTAGTGGTTCACTAAACGCAGAGTCGTACTGGGATTTCAATATTTCACTCATTTCCTTGTTGTCATCTGTTTAAGTCCCATCCTGTCTGAGTAAGGGCCCGATACTAAATGTGGTATTTGCCTTGTTTTTGGCATATGAAAAGAAATATTTTGAATTTTGAGTAGTGCAGATATTGAGGACATCACATATGAAAGACCCCTGGGGGCCAGCAATCATGTGGTTTTAAGATTCAGATTCACAGTAGAGTTACAAGTGGAGGGGGGGGGGGGGAGCAGGAAGACCCAGACAAATGAAGCCAAACTACAAGAAGGGGGACTATGCAGAAAAGAAGAACTTCCTGAATGGGGTTCAGTGGGACAGAGAATTGCCAGGGAAGTCAGTAAACGAGATGGTGGAATACGTGACAACAATATGCAAGGAAGCTGAAGAGAGGTTTGTACCCAAGGGTAACAGGAAAAATGAAAAGCCAGG